GTTGCAAATGGGAGACAGGACAGCTGCAGGTGGGAATTTTGGGAGGATGAAGGAACTGTTCTCCATTCTGACTGTTGTGCTGGCTACATGACTGTAAGCATTTGACAAAGACTGCAGAACTCTACATCAAAAAGAGAGCAATTTTCTGTTTATAAGTTCTAACTCAATTTTTAAAGGAAGAATAATTGGTTACCGCCAAATAAACAAACAAAACCAAAAATACCTGTGCTGAGAAGTGGCCACTGAATCTTGGTCCCATAGCTTGTCCTTCAAGGTAATTTTTCAGAAACAGGTATCACCTGGAGAGTGGTGTGTAGCTTCTTTCAGAAAGTGGGAGTGTCTTTTGTGAACAAAACATATTTTCTGCACACTGTGGCTGCAGTATTGGTGGTAGAATGTACTATAATATGGATCATCTCAACTTCCATATTTATTTATTACTAGACCTCGATCAGTTTCTTTTCTCCTTCCACTTCTTTGCCGGGAGGATGCGGTCTATGGAGTCATGCACTTTGTATTAATATATTAGAAATCTACAAATCTGTCCAGTACTTGTTATACGGTTGGATATTTATAATCAAAATCTTTACTAGGGTATTGGATATATTTAGTCTTACTAGAAAATAAACAAAAACAAAACCCTATCCAATATCAGGAGGACATGGGCTTGGAATGGTTTTACCATGAAGAGTCTCCTGATTGGAATACGTCTGCAGGCAGGACGGAACCGACTTGAGTTGGATGATACAAAATCCTTGTCCTCACTGCCATCACACTGGAACACGCAAACCTCCGTGGAATTGCTAGCCCCTGGAGCCTATTCTCTGCGTTCCACAACTAGAGAGATCTCAGACTTTACATTCCTCCTCCAAACCTTTGGATACCTTCTCATTCTACTTGGAAGAAAATACAAACTCTTCATAAGTCCCCACATGACCTGGCCCCTAACAACCTCCTGGACATCACATCCTACCATACACCCCTCACACTCCACGCTTGACCACACTGGACTTTTGGGTCCTTGAACAATGAGCCAAACTCATCTCCACTTGAAGACCACTGACCCAGACAGATTAGGATCATAGTGCCACACCTTTCCAACTACTTAAATTTGGCAAATTACTTAGTCCTGTGCCTTAGTTTCTCATTGGTAAATATGAGAATAATAATAATAATACCAATGTCACAGGGTGGTGGTGATATCTGGGAAATGAACATACATGAAAAGCACTTTAAACAATGCTGAACATGTAAATGTTCAATAAACGTTAGCTATTATTATTTCTGGTTCTGGAAACTCTTGTCTTTTGTACCCTTTGTTCCTATTATCCAGAACTGTTTGCATGCATGAGCATGGCTACTGGGCAAAATATCTTACAGAGAAACTATGTCCAAACAAGTCAGTTATTTCTTGGTAAACAGAGTAGTTTCAAGTATACTAATAACATTGTTCTGGTTAAACTTTTTCCTTGGGGGTAATACTAGATATACAGAAGAGTTGTAAAGGTAATACAGAGATTTTCTGTATACCCTTCACCCAGCTTCTACTAACATTAATATAACCACAGTATAAGGGCGCCTGGATGGCTCAGTTGGTTAAGCGACTGCCTTCAGCTCAGGTCATGATCTTGGAGTCCCTGGATCGAGTTCCGCATCGGGCTCCCTGCTCGGCAGGAAGTCTGCTTCTCCCTCTGACCCTCCCCACCTCATGTGCTTGCTCTCTCTCATTCTCTCTCTCTCAAATAAACAAATAAAATCTTTAAAAATATATATATATAACCACAGTATAATTATAGAGACTAAGATATTAATATTGGTTCGGTACCTACCTAGACTACAGATTTCATTCATACTTCACCACTTTCTCCACTAATATCTTATTTCTGTTCAAAGAGCCCATCCAGGATACTACATTGTATCTACCACTAATAATATTTTAAATGATGATTTTATTAAATAATACGGCTTTTGACTTCTAAAATATTAGTGTAAAGATACAGGGGTATATTTAAATTGCAAACTTATACCATATGCAAGTTGCAGACCTTCCCAAGTTCTCTGTGATCCTCCCTGCCTTAGTTTTTTCCTTATCACTGATTCTATCGAACATGCTCTCACATTACATCACATCTGAGGTTCCATTGATTGAAATGTGTATCATCGTTTTATATACAAAAGAAAAAAACGCTAGTAATTACAATTGCAAAATGCTATCAGTTGTAAGATGTATCTCAATTTCTGAGATATTAACACATGAAAAATTGTGTGTCTTAAAATCTATAAAACATGGTATGCATTTTACAGGTTCTATTTATTGTCTATTTGCTTCATTAGAATGATGATTCCATGACAGCAGGATTTTTGTCTGTTTCCCACTCAACGTATCCTGGTGTCTAGCATACAGTGCTCAAAAAATATTTGTTAAATGAACAAATGAATAATAATACAATACCAGCTAATATTTACTGAGCACTGTGTCAGGCACCATTCCAAGCTCTTTATTTTTATTAACTCTTCTGATTGTGTTGGATATTTTATCAGAAAGGGAATTTATCATAAATAAGCAAAAACCAGACAGTAGTACTTTTCAATACCTAGCCTACCCAGAACATAAAATTAAGCAACTGAAAGAAAAAAAGATTATCTAGGGGCACCTGGGTGTCTCAGATGGTTAAGCATCTGCCTTCGGCTCAGGTCATGATCCCAGGGTCCTGGGATCAAGTCCCGCATCAGGCTCCCTGCTCCTTGGGAGCCTGCTTCTCCCTCTGCCCCTCTCTCTCTCTCTCATGAATAAATAAATAAAATCTTTAAAAAGAAAAAAAAAATTACCTAAATATCTTCTTTAACAATGAACTGAAAATTAAAAAATAAAAATTTTATTCATTAACAAATACTGATCAAGCACCACTCTATTCTTGGCACTTTTGCAAGTTCTAAATACTTTACAAATGTTAACTCCTCTAATTCTCACAACAGGAGACAGGTAGTATTACAAGGCACAGAACCCAGGCACAGAAAGGTTAAGGAACTCGCCAAAGGTCACACAGCAACTAAATGGCAAAGTCAAAACTTTAGTATTAGTATTCTTACCCACCAGGCTATACTACCTCATAGCCACTAAAACATTCTACCCTGTGTTCATGGCACTTAAGTGACAGTTAAAAAGTCAATAAAGCAATAAAAATCATTAACTTTTGTGACCACCCCCTTAGCTCCTGGTTAATTAGGCCATTCAGTTTGCTGGCCAATTATCAAATGACGAAAGGAAGGCAGAGCCCATCTGCTCTGGTTGGCTTTTGTTCTATTGACATTTGCTGAGTGCCCTTGATGTGACAGGCACTGGGGAGAGATACATAAAGAGGTTTGTAGACAGATGATCACCACCCTGGAAGCCTGTAGAAGATTCAGGATGCTCCCAGAGGAGCAGTGAAGGTTTTGTTGACCCTTGCATGGAAACCTGAAAGAGGAGTCAGTTTGCCAAGCAGACGAGCAAAGGAAGCCTGGACTCACTGCCCTGCAAACCTCCTGGCCTCCAGACCTGAGGCTAGCTGGATTCCTTCCCCTCTTTACAAGCTGATTTTCAGTCCCCTAGAACACGAGAGCAGCTCTAGTTCCCTATCTCTCTGCCAGAGCAAATATTGAGAAATGTCCAGCTCAATGACTTCAGTGTTGCACCTTATTGCATGTGCCACAGAATGGATCCATTCCCCCACCCCCGGCTGCCCAAATGAGAATCATGTGGCCGAGGCGAGACAAGTCCCAGTAAATCAGAGTGGGGAACAACGAGGGGCTGCCGAGGAATGCAGACGGTGAGAAAAGAACAGAAATGCGACCAGAGACTGATCCTGCAGTTTCCTGCACACCAGGGCGAAGGGAGTGCATGCAGAGATGGTGATGGAATATTGCCTGATGTCAGGTCAATAATCCATCCCTGCAAGATATGTGAATGCCAACTGTCTTCCAGGAACCCGTCTCCTTTCTTTAAAAATAATGAAAATAACAAGCACACACAAGAACATACATCAGCGTTTCTCAAGAGATTTTGTATATGACCAATCTAAGTGACCAATAAATTTGCTTACAAAAGTTAGATTTTCACTGCTCTATTGATTTTTTTTTTTAATATTTTATTTATTTTTCAACAGAGAGAGAGAGACAGCGAGAGAGGGAACACAAGCAGGGGGAGGGGGAGAGGGAGAAGCAGGCTTCCCGCTGAGCAGGGAGCCGGATGCCGGGCTCGATCCCAGGACCCTGGGACCATGACCTGAGCCGAAGGCAGACGCTTAACGACTGAGCCACCCAGGCGCCCCTCTATTGATTTTTTTAACTACCATTAAGTTCGCACTTAGATGTCAGTGAGCCCTAACATGAAAATTATTAACTGCGATGCTTCAAGTGTCTTGCAAATATTTGATCAATGTGTTCCTGGCTTGTGCTTATGCCAAAGTGTGGACTCTGGGAAAGTGTATATATGTCTAGCTCTTTTCACGTTCGTGCATTTCTGAGGGCAGGGGCCATATCTGTTTAACTTGTTTTATACAGTGCTAGGTCCATGCACAGGGAATACTTAATTCAATTTAATCAAGAGGCAGATGCTTATTTCCAAGAAGGGGTTAAAATAAGAGCACATTCACACATCTCAATTTTTTAAAAAAACTCATAAAGCATATGTAATTTACAAAGTGCCGAATAAATCAGACCAAAATATACATCCTAACTAATAAAAATGACGGGGTGCCTGGGTGGCTTAGATGGTTAAGCGTCTGCCTTCGGCTCAGGTCATGATCCCAGGGTCCTGGGATCGAGCCCAGAGAAGGACTCCTTGCTCAGCGGGGAGCCTGCTTCTCCCTCTCCTTCCTGCTCCTGTTCTCTCGCTATCTCTGTCACACTGTCTCTCTCTAATAAATAAATAAAATATTTTTTAAAATAATAATAATAAAAATGACAATTTGGGCAAACTCATATATTTTGGCTTGTTGGCACCGAGTGACAATTCTCACCTGGGGACAATGACTGGGGTCTGAGGTCGGCAGGGTCAGAAGAAAATTGCAGCAGAGCCGGAGAGCTTCAGCTTCCAACTGTTCTGCTCCATGCATCTTCAAGTCATGTCTATCAATGATTGTTTCCTCTCTTTAAAAAAAAAAAAAATTTCATGGTTGTGCTTCCCCTCTTGTGCACAATATAGGAGGATTCAGGTGCAAAGGTATACAAGAGAAAATAAAATAAACTAACACATAGGACTTATTATTTTAAAGATTTATTTATTTTAAAGATTGAGAGAGCGTGAGTGGGGGGAGGGGTAGAGGGAGAGGGATAGAGGGAATCCCCAAGCAGGCTCTGCACCGACTCGAGGCTCCATCTCACGATCCTGATTCACGACCTGAGCCAAAATCAAGAGTCAGAAGCTCAACGGACCAAGCCAGCCGAGCATCCCTATAGAGAACTTATATGTCAGTCTGAATTCTAGGTGTTTCATATATATTAACTCATTTAATTCTTACAACTACCCTATGAGTTCAGTTCTGTTACTATGCTTACTTACAATGGAGAAAAAATTTTCACTTCACTGAAGGAAACCTAGGTCCAGAGAGATTAAATATCTTGCTCAAGTTTACAGATCTTTCAGGTGGTGGATCTGGGATTCAAACCCAGGTAGTATGGCTCCCAGAGCTATTGTAACCACTAATCAACGACCAGAAAGAACTTCAAGAACATGCCAGTCACCTTTATCTTTATCATGAGTGGCTGTGGACTTGGATGCTTAGTAGGTGGTACAATTAACCTCAAGATTTCTTAAAAACCACAGCAAAGGGGCACCTGGGTGGCTCAATCGGTGGAGCCCACGACTCTTGATCTCAGAGTTGTGAGTTTGAGCCCCATGTTGGTTGTAGGGATTACTTAAAGATAAAAATCTTAAAAAAAAAACAAACAACTTACTTTATCAGGTGTATTAATGTGTATGTCATGTGCATTTTGGTAACATGATAGTTAATGGAGACTCCCTCCTGAAAGCTTCGGGACCTCTGATGATACCCAAGCTATTTCTCCAACTTTTTCCAAACATCTGGTACCTACAACAGCCTCCTCCATATTTGATATCCGAGAGGTAACTTAAACTTAACACGTCCCTATTAGTGAGACCAATCAGCACTAACTGCTCTAAACAATCTCCAGTCTCAGTGGCTTAACGAAATTAATGTTTATTTATCAAGCACGTAAAGTTTAAAGCAGGCATTCATGGTTGGGATTTCTATAGGAAGCTTTTTTCCAGCAGTGATTCAGGGATCCAGACTCTTTCCATCTTGTGGTTCTGACATTTTCACCACATAGCCTCAATGATAACCTGCTTTGGGGGAAATGGAGGTAGGGAAGACAGGGAGTGAATGTAGAAAAGGCAGAACCATTCTTTTTTTAAGTTAACATATAATGTATTATTTGTCTCAGGGGCAGAGGTCTGTGATTCATCAGTCTTATATAATATTCAGTGCTCATGAGATAGGTTACAACATATACCCTCCCCAATGTCCATCACCCAGTTACCCCATCCCCCTACCCCCTTCCCCTCCAGCAACCCTCAGTTTCTTTCCTATGATTAAGTCTCTTATGGTTTGTCTCCCTCTCTGGTTTCATGTTGTTTCATTTTTTCCTCTCTTCCCCTATGATGCTCTGCCTTGTTTCTTAAATTCCACGTATCAGTGAGATCATATGATAATTGTCTTTCTCTGATTTATTTCACTTAGCATAATACCCTCTAGTTCCACCCATGTCATTGCAAATGGCAAGATTTCATTTTTTGATGGCTGCATAATATTCCATTGTATATATACACCACATCTTCTTTAGCCATTCATCTGTCGGTAGACATCTGGGCTCTTTCCATAGTTTGGCTATTGTGGACATTACTGCTATAAACATTGGGGTGCAGGTGCCCAATCAGATCACTACATTTGTAGCTTTGGGGTAAATACCCAGTAGTGCAATTGCTAGGTCATAGAGTATCTCTATTTTCAACTTTTTGAGGAACCTCCATACTATTTTCTACAGTGGCTGCACCAGCTTGCATTCCCAGGGCAGAACCATTCTTAATGGTATCAAACTGGAAGTGACGCATATCATTTCCTCTTAAAATCTATTGGTAAGAACTAGTTGGATGGCCCCATATCTATTACATTCTCCCCTGAAACCTAGTTCTCCTTCAGGCTTCACTTACTGAGTGAAGTAATATCCCCATTTGGATTGGTTATCTATTAATGCAAAACAAATTGCCTCAAAACTTAGAGGCTTAAAACAACAATAAAAATTTATCATCTCTCACAGTTTCTGTGGGTCAGGAATTCAGAAGCAGTTTAGTTGGGATATTCCTACTCTTGTGGGAAAGTTTTGAGTTTCTCACCATTAAGTATGATATGACCTTTACATTGTTTTACACATACTCTTCATCAAGTTGAGAAAACTCCCCTCTATTCTAGGTTTACCAGAGTTTTTATCATGAATGGGTGCTGGAGTTTATCAAATGGTTTTTCTGCATCTATGGATATGATCACGTGGCTTTTCATTAATCTGTTGATGAGATAGGTTACATTAATTAATTTTCAAATGCTGAACCAGTCTTGCATACCTGAGATAAATCCCACTGGGTCATGGTGTATAATTCTTTTTATACATTGTTGTATTCAATTTGCTAACATATTGTTGAGAATTTTTACCTCTGGGTTCATGAGAAATATTGGTCTGTAGTTTGTCAGGTTTTGGTATTAGGGTAATGCTGGACTCACAGAATGGGTCAGGAAGTATATCCTCTGGTTCTATCTTTTGAAAGAGATTAGAGAGAACTGATATACTTTTCTTCCTTAAATATTTGGTAGAATTCACCAGTAAGCCCATCTGGGCTTGGTACTTCCTGTTTTGGAAGGTTATATATTGTTGAGTCAGCTTCTTTAGGAGATACAGGCCCATTCAGATCATCTATCTCTTACTATGTGAGTCTTGGCAGATTGTGTCTTTCAAGGAATCGGTCCATTTCACCTAGGTTATCAAATTTGTGACCAGAGAGTTGCTCATAGTATTCCTTTATTATCTTTTTAATATCCATGGAATCTGCAATGATATCCCCTCTTTAATTCCTGATCATGCTGAGCAGGGAGCGCGATGTGGGGCTCGATCTCAGGACTCCGGAACCATGACCTAAGCTGAAGGCAGATGCTTAACCAATTGAGCCACCCAGGTGCCTCTATTTCATTGATTTCTGCTCTAATTTTTATTTCTTTTCTTCTGCTTACTTTAGATTTGTTCTTCCATTTCTAGTTTTCTAGAGTGGAAGCTTAGATAAGTGATTTTAGATCAATCTCTCTTGGTGAATGTTCCATGTGAGCCTGAGAGGAATGTGCACCCTCCACATTGGTTGGATGAAGTAGTTTATAGATGTCTATTATATTCCTAATCTTTTTCTTTGTACATAAGCATAAATATAATCTCTATGTGTATATATACATACACATACAAACAAGTACAATTTGCGTAAAGTCCCCTGAATATACAGGTAAATTTGCATAGCTATAATCTGATGGTATACTCTACGCATTAAGTTTTTTTTAATCACACATTTTCGTATTTTACCTTAACCTGCATATTCATGACTTTAATAATCCAAACTATTGACATATGCTTGGAAAACTTTACCTCTGCCTGAGTACTACCACTTTCCAAAGCGAGGAAAAGGGAAGCCAGAATCACCAAAGAGACTCTAAGCACTATGGAGAGCATTAATTTCGCCATATTCTATGACTCCTCGAGGTCATATTAGGGGGAGCGTACTAGTTTACTAGGGCTGTGGTACAAAGTACCAAAAACTGGGTTGCTTAAACAACAGAAATGTATTGTCTCAGAGTTCCAGAGGCCAGAAGTCCCAGATCAAGGTGTCCACAGGTTGGTTCCCTCTCAGGGCTGGGAAGGAGAATCTGTTTCATGCCTCTCCCCAGCTCATGGTGGTTTACTGGCAATCTCTGGCATTCTTTGACTTACAGGTGCATCCTCTTGCTCTCTGCCTGCATCTTAACATGTGACTCTCCCTGTGCACCTGTCCGTGTCCAAAATTTCCCTCTTAATAAGAACGCAAGTCGTATTGGAATAGAGGCCCACTCTACTTCAGCAACTAATTACACCAGCAATGACCCTACTTCCAAATAAAGTCACATTCTGTGATACTGGGGAGGGAACACAATGAACCCAGAACAAGGAGCAAATAGGAGGGTTGGTGTGACAAAATGGAAAGATATAACAGAATCCGGGTTCCAGTCTTAGGCTGTCGACAAGCTATTGCTGACCTTGAGCAAACTGGGCAAATAAGGGAGATCCTATAGATGATACCAAAGCTTCTCTTCCGATCCTGTTGTTCTCAAAATAGCATTGCTGTGGGAAGACTTAAAACGTAAAGTTTTAAATTAGATGTTGGGGGCGCCTGGGTGGCTCAGTTGGTTAAGCGACTGCCTTCGGCTCAGGTCATGATCCTGGAGTCCCTGGATCGAGTCCCGCATCGGGCTCCCTGCTCGGCGAGGAGCCTGCTTCTGCCTCTGACCCTCCCCCCTCTCATGTGCTCTCTCTCTCTCATTCTCTCTGTCTGAAATAAATAAATTAAAAAAAAAAATCTTAAAAAAAAAAAAAAAAAAAAATTTAAATTAGATGTTGGATTTGAAACAAGCCATTAACTCAAAAGAGAGCTTTTGAGAGGACTGTAGAATGAAGAGGCCCAGGACACAAGGGGCAGGGTCCCTGGGACTGGTTTGCAAGAAGAGTTGCCCTCACCACACACAGTGTCACAGGACCACTGCCTTCAGGCTGTAATCATTTCCAGCCTTTTTGGAGTTGCAACACCCAACACGTTACGGTTGTTTATTTGATTTCGTGACACTGCCCATTACTCTCCACCTCCCCAAAGCTTCCCTCTCCCCCAGCCCCAGCCCAAAGGAATGGCCAAACATGGACTTACTTTTAAAAGTTAATTAGGTCTTGCAAATTTTGTCACACCCTAAGATAATTCTATCCCCTTTGTCAAGGATATAAAGAAAAGCAGATGGCCACTGGGCACAGAAATGGATGGAGGAGAGAATACTTTGGACCACCCAAAGGACCAT